AAAAAAAAAAAAAAAAAAAAAAAGTCCTAAGATCCAGAACCTGGGATCACCTTCATTCCAGTTGCGAAATCCAAGGTACAAGCTTGGCTGTGTTATTCATCTCTTATCCGATTCTGGTGCTGAGGATACAATGCCAGGCAAGTAGCAAGGGCTCAGTAAATATTTGATGAAGTATATTGTGTAGAATTGGTACTGATCTATAGGTTTTATGACCGTCAGGTGCTTTCAACCACGGCTCTTTCTGATTACATTACAAGCAGTCCTGGGTTACCAACAGGATGGGTTCCTGAGAACATGTTTAGGTTGGATTTGTACGTAACTCAGATCCTTGATGAACAGTCCATATATGGTAATAATAATAATGGTATAATGGCTCATGTGTGGCAATAATAATACAGGGTATACTATAATATTAAAGTAATAGCCCATATTGTAATAATAAGTTACAGAAACTATCGTGCTCTTTAATTCGATAGCCCATATTGTAATAATAAGTTACGAAAACTATTGTGCTCATTCCTCATTGATAGGAATGTTACACTTATTTTTATCTTCAAATCAATAACAACGTTTCATTTCAATAATTAATCCAGTATGCTGCTTGATAATAATCGACCCTTTCATTGGAGCAGTACCTTTTGCATGTTCCATTATGCTCACTTAGGATAATCCAGGAGTAGGATGACTGAAGCTTTCCCAGTGAATGATGGCATCTAGCCTTTCTTTGAACAATTAATTATTTCTATTACTTTTGTTTCCCTTGTAATAATCACTCCATTTTCTGAGATTTCTTTTGGCAGCAGGCTCCACTAGACTTGCTGTGGACTTGCACTTTGGAGACGTGGTCGTAAGGGTAAACACAGGCTCACAAAACGGAATTAAAAAGTTAAGATGAGAGTGATAGCTTGCGTAAGCAACCTGGTCAATAATGAGACTAACTGCTATCATAAAGGTGCTACCCCAACAACATGCTTATGCCATATGGCTTTGTTTGCATACACAGAAGAAACTAGTTCCTGAATTATTCATTTAATTATTTAATTATACGTTATCCTTGTGGGGAGCCTGAAGACACCATTTGTAAGTATAGAATGCCATAAGTCGGATCATGCGTAACCTGAGGACTGCTCGTATTTTATTTCTTCCTCACCACAAAACAGTGAGGCAAACGTTGCTTCTGTTGTCCAGGTTCAGGGACTTGTCTAGGGTCATTCAAGCTACGAATTACAGCCCACATATGAGGTCTGACAAATTCATGAACTCATCCTAAAAAAAAGTGCTACATACCTCATTGCTGAATATCACTATGGTCACCTTCAAAGTGTTCCTTTTGGGAAGCTATGCACTGATGCCAATGCCTAGTCTACCCTTCCAAGCAAATTGGGAGCTCTTGTCCTGGAATGGCCATCAGAGCCATCGTCATATTACCCTTGATGTCCTGAATATCATCCAAATGTCTTCCTTTTGATATTTCCTTTATCTTTTGGTAAAGAGAAAAAGTCATTGGGGGCCAGATCAGGTGAGTAGAGAGGGTGTTCCAATATACTTATTTTGATTTTGTTTTGTTTTGTTTTTTTGGAACACAGTCTCCCTTGGTCACGCTTGGTAGAGTGACTTGGCATCATAGCTCACAACAACCTCAAACTCTTAGGCTCAAGTGATCCTCTTGCCTCAGTCTCCTGAGCAGCTGGGACTAGAGACCCTTGCCACAACTCCCAGCTATTTTTTAGAGATAGGGTCTTGCATCTTGGTCAGGTTTGAAGTCCGAAGCCCAGGCAGTCCACCCACCTTGGCCTCCCAGAGTGCTGGGATTACAGGCATAAGCCTTAATTATTTATTTACTGTGCCATGTGAGCTGGTGCATTGTCATGATGCAAGTGCCATGAGTTGGTGAAAAGTTCAGGTCATTTTCGTCTAACTTTTTCACACAGGCTTTTCAAGACTTCTCAATAGTAAACTCGGTTAACTATTTGTCCAGTTGGTAGAAATTCATAATATATAATCCCTCTAATATCAAAAAAGGTTGGCAGTATCATTTTGACTCTTGATTTGGACTGACAGAACGTTTTTGGTCATGGAGCACTGGCTGACTTCCACTGTGCACTTTAATGTTTTGTTTCATCACAATGGGACACCCACGTTTCATCACCAGTGAAAACATGGCCCAAAACATCAGCTTACCTCTCCAATAGGGCTTGGCAAACTTTGACTCTGCTCTTGTTCATCATTGAGCTCCTTCAGGACCATTTTTGCACATACCATTCTCAAGCCAAGATTTTCAGTTAGATTTTGCCAACTGTTTCTCTATTGATATTTCCTTGGTCTGCGGTGCTCCTCCCAGTCAGTAGATGATTTCAATGCACAATTCAATGAATTTTTACAATGTTTTCATCATTTCTGCTCACTACTGTCCACTCTGACCTCTCTTCATAAGTGATACTTTCTCTCCCCTTAGAATGTTTAATCCATTTGTACACTGCTATTTTGTTCATGGCATTATCCCCATAAACTTGGACTAACACATCCCTGATTTCACTTCAGCTCTTGCCAAGTTTAACAAGAAATTTAAGGTTTGCTCATTTCTCTAATTCAATCTCCAACATTCTCACAACAGCAACACAAAAACATGCAGCAATAATGAATGCCACTCAGCAAGACACCGCTATACAACCATATGAACACAGCTGTGAGACACTGATAGACCAAGGTTATGAAAGCTTACTGAGTTGTTTGTACAGTGCTGCTAACATAAGTACATGGTGGCAAGTTCCAGAACCTAATTGTCAGACCTTGTAGCCTAAGTTTTAGCTTGTTTAGCTAATTCCTTCCTTCCTTCTCTCCTTCTTTTCTTCCTTCCTTCATCTATTCACTTAGTTCTGTATAATTCACTGAGTCTCTTTATGTCAAGCACTGTATGACTTGTATAGCACTTTATACCCATAATGTTAATTCTTTCTTTTTTAAAAAAAAATTAAGACATAGTCTCATTCTGTCACCCTAGGTTGAATGCTGTGGCATTATCTTAGCTCACAGCAACCTCAGACTCTTATGTTCAAGTGATCCTCTTACCTCAGCCTCCCAAGTAGCTGAGACTACAGGAGCTCACCTGGCTAATTTTTTAATTTTTTAGTAGAAATAAGGACTCACTCTTGCTCAGACTTGTCTCAAACTCCTAAGCTCAAGCAATCTTCCTGTCTCAGCCTCCCAGAGTGCTAGGATTACAGGTGAGAGCCACCATGCCCATCCATAATGTTAATTCTTAAACTTCCTCAATCTATCTTAAGTATATTCCTCTCTCCTTCTTTTAGAATAAACCCCCTTGTTTCTAAGTCCTTAAAGGTAAGAAGAGTGACTGTTTCCCCTGGGCACTAATAAATTGATCACTATTCTCCTCTAGCTCATAGTCAGCCCTCTGTATCCATGGGTTCTGCATCCCCAGATTCAACCAACCACAGAAGGAAAATACAGTATTTGGAGAACAAATAACAATACAACAACAAAAACAATACAAATAAAATAATACGATAACGATATATATAATATTAAAATTGTATTAAGTGTCTAGAGATGATTTAAAATGTTTGTGAAGATGTGCCTAGGTTATATGTGCATACCACACCATTTTATATAAGGTACTTGAGAGTCCAAGGATTTTGGTATCCTTGAGGGGTTCTGGGATCAATCCTCCTGCGATATTGAGGGACAACGACATTTTTGGGGGGGAGGGGTTAAGAGACAGAGTCTCACTTTATCACTTTCAGTAAAATGCCAGGGTGTCACAGCTC